TTATTATTTTTTCATGTTTTATACTGTCTGATGTCTCCCTTCACCCACTTTTCTGTTGTTTGTCCCCCAGGGAGGGGTTATATGTATATCATTGTATTTGATTCCCCCTTCCTCCCCCACCTTCCCCTTACCCTCCTGGTATTGCTAATCTCATCATTGGTCCTGAGGGATTTCTCTGTCGTGCATTCCCTGTGTTTCCAGCTCTTATTTGTCCCAGTGTACATCCTCTGGTCTAGCCAGATTTGTAAGGTTAAATTGGGATCGTGAACTAGAGGAAAGTTGTATGTTTCATTAGTACTGTACTGCACCCTGACTGGCTCATTTCCTCCCCTTCTGTTTTTTTCCCATTGGTTTCAAACTGCTGACCTTGCAAGTAACAGCCCAATGTATAACCCCCATGTCACTAGCGCCCCTTTAATACTTTTATTGGCATGCAATTCACATATTATGCAATTTAATAGTTCAGTTGTTGTATGGTCATCACCACAGTCAATTTCAGAGCATTTTCTTTCTTGTGCTCTCTTAGTTCCCCGTTTGCCCCCAACCTAGGGGCATGGCAGAATGTCAGAATAGAAACTTGTTCCCTCCTTCAGATTTGGATTTTATAATTTGTAGTCCTTGAAGCTTCTTAATCGACACCTTGCTTAGATGGCTGCCTCATTTTAAGACAACCCTTTGAGACTCCAGATGCTGTTCTTTCTGCTAGCAAGGCAGCCTCTGATTTCTGTGTCTTCACTGGTCTCTTCATGCGGCCACGCCATGTGACTTACTGTTCTTAGATCAGGGCTAGAATGAAACGTGAGTCCCCAAATCCAGTTGTATACTGTGGTTTATATATGTCTCTGGTTCACTTTAGAAGCATCATTACCTTTTTTTGTTGGAGAACGTTATAAATCATCCTCTTGGGGCATAAGGTAATTCTATTCACAGTGACATTAATTTAGCCAAAGGTGTAGACCTTAAAACATTGTTGAGTAAAGGATACTAGACATGTATTAGTCAGGTTTTCAGGGTACAATACGTGAATTGTTAACTTGCGTAAGTCCAATGCTTAGGAGAATGGACACTATTTTTATGGACAACAGAGGTTGGTATTAGGGCCAAACTTTCAGTAATGCTCCTTGACAGGCAGAACCATTCCTACCAGACAAATACGTGTCCCGAGAGCCAGGAGGACATTAAAAGAGTAAATAGACGGTGCTTCAGGGCTGTCGTTCGTTGTGCACCCTCTAAGATGACCTCAGTGAAGCCCAACGACTGCTAGCTCTATCACCTTGGGAGAAAAGCCATCCGCATCTCAGGAGTGCGTTTCAGCAGTGAGTCCAAGGGAGGCTGGCAGTGTCTTAAGTCTCTCACGGCTCAGTTTGAGGTGAAGCTCCCTTCACTTGGTGGGGTTTCCACACTGCACCCTTCTGGTTAGCCTATGAGGGGCTTTCTTGATCCAGTCCCTCACTGATGGGCACTTGGGCTCTTTCCAGCTCCTTACTGTTGTGACCTGTGCTGCAATGGACAGGGGAGAGCATTTGTCTGTTTGTGTTCTGTCTCCTATTTTTGTGGGATAAATGAACTCCAGCTGGATTAAAGACCTACATTCAAACTCTAGAACCATAAAGATCATAAGTGAAAAAATAAAGGCCAACTTACAGACCCTAATACAAGGCAGAAACACCCTACCAACCCTAATGAGAAGTGCCCACCGCACAGAAGACAACAGAGAACAGTGGCCTTCTAAAAAATATGACATTGATGTACAAGATAACCCACAGATTGGGAACGTTTTGTTTGAAATTGTGTATCATATTAAGGCTAATTTCAAAAATCTATAGAAAACTACTGTATCTTAATGAAAACACAAATAGCCCAATCAGAAATGGACACAAATTAACAAGTTATTGAAGATAGCATCCAGCTGACCAACAATCATAATGAAATGTACATGGTCATTATAAGAAAAATCCAAAGGGGGCGGGAATCAATCGCAATGATTGACGTACAACAACCCCCTCCCCCAGGGTGACGAACAGCAGAAAACGTCAATGAAGGGAGACAACAGACAGTGTAAGGTACAATAATAATTTATAGTTTATCAAGCGTTCATGAGGGTGGGAAGAAAAAAATGAGCTGATACAAGGGCTCAAGTAGAAAGAAAATGTTTTGAAAAGGATGATGGCAACATAGGTGTATTAAATTGGCTAGGGGGAGTGGGGTGCCAGCCCCACCCGCTACTAGAACTCACTGGTTCAGTAATGTGAGGAACAGAAGGATTTCTCTTAAAAGTTGTCTCCCCAAAATATGTACTAGACTTAGCTGCTTAAGAGTGACTGTACAATAGGTGATCAGCGAAAGTAGGTCAGAGGTTATTCTCCTTGACATCAGCCATCTATAGTGGCTAGACTATTAGTCTGACTCACCCTAAGTAGGGCCCACTCCCTTCTGATAAGGATAATGGTGGTCTGTTCACTTGCAGGAGATACCAGAGAGGGCAGACCTGCCCAAGGATGACCAAGGTTAGGTAGCCATTATCACCTGTCTAGATCAAGCAGACACCACTGTTTATCCCACAACAAATGTGGGCACACCCCTAGGTCATCCCCCTCCTATTGATTGTATTTCCTATGTTGCTACCCCTCCCTGTGACTTAGGTTATTGTCTGTTATCAGGGGACTTGCATGCCTCCCAGAATAGTAGTTGTCGGTTTTATTATATGAGACATCAGTGATCAAACTTGTTCTAGAATGAATTGTATTGCCCCTTTCTGTGATGTATGCCTCTGTAATCAGATCCCCCTAAAGTGATATGATGCGTGGTTAGCAATAAATAATGAGGCTCCCTGGTTCTCGGAGGGTGGCTGGTGAAGGTGGCTAAGGAGGACGAAGCAGCGGCTTCTTCTCTGACGACTGAGCCCCCTCCACGAGGACCATCAAGCGGAGCTGAGGTGAGCGATGCTACCATGAATTGTGTCTGACTCCATTACTTGACTCCATCCTTTAACTCTCATGCTCTCTGACTTTACTATAATCTCTACTTATTATCGCTGTACAATTGCGCCTACCGAACCTGTGATGTTTTGTGGGGTTCCCTCTTCCCTTTAACCCCACACAGTAATGCACAATTGTACGGTCGAGATATAAAAATATTATATTAAAGTCATTGAGAGCATGAGAGATATTACAATAATGCAGTCAGACACATTACATGGTAGCATTGCTCACCTCAGCCCAGCTTGGTGGTCCACGTGGAGAGGGGGAAGGGAAGGAGAGCAAGGGAACAAGGGAGAGGGGAGTGACCAGGGAGTGAGCAGCAAGGAGGACGGTCTCTCTTGCTGACCCACGCTTATACACCCTTTGGGGGCATGCCAGCCCACTAATTAACAGGTAAAGACATACATTACAGGGAGGGGCAGCACTATATAGGTTACACAGCAATGAGGGGGTGGTCTCTGGGTCTCCATAGGAACCATGATCAGCAGGGTGAAAACTCTTCCTACAGGAGCCTGTCCAATGTCCCCAGAGGCAGGGAGCAGGCCCACCCCTGTGGTGGGATGAGACAGCAGTCTGGCAATTGATTGCCCTCAGGGGGGGAATGCCTAAGCATCTGAACTCCTCCCACACATAGGTTCAAATATGCTTGACACAGTGGATCTATGGATTGTTATAAGAGCTGTAAGAGCCCCCAATAAAATGATGTATTAAAAGTAAAAAAGAAAAAGCCAAATTAAAGCAGTGATGAGACAACCACCTTATAATGACACTTAGCAAAATTCAAGACAAAATAACAAATCCTGAGAAGGATGTGGAGCGATTGGGTTGATCCAGCATTGCTGGTGGGATTGCACATATACCCCCAAAGAAAGAAGTAATAAAATAGGAACAGACATATACACACTTATGTTTGTGTTCATGACTTCCATAATCACAAAAACATGGAAAACAACAAAGCCCCTCTCTGTGCAGGATGGGAAAACCAACTCCGTTCCAGGCACAGAATGGAGTGTTAGGCAGCCCTGAAAACGATGATGAAACAGTCCGACGCCTCCTGACATGCACAGAACTGGAAGACATGCTCAGCAAAGTGGATCCAGTCTCTTAGAGATCAATATGTCTTACCAGTATCATAAAAGGAAAACTGTAGATGGCCTTCATTTAAGAGAGAAGACTGGGCTGGAGGCAGAAGGGAGGAAGAAAGGGGGAGGGGAGGGGAGGAAGGGGGAGAAGATAACAAGACCGCGAGGCTGGGTGGGGGGAGCTGATAAATGGCATGCTCTCACAGGTCTGGGGTGATGGCTGTGTACTATGTATAGTACTTTTTGTGTGTACACGAGACGGGGTGGGGGGCTGATAAATGGCATGCTCTCACAGGTCTGGGGTGATGGCTGTGTACTATGTATAGTACTTTTTGTGTGTACACGAGAC